GTCACTGCACATAGCTGGGACAATTATCTTATCGACTCACTCTAATGACAAGAAATGTGCTGGGTTCTAGTCATTTTGTTAACGATGTACCAAGATGAGTATTCTATTAACTGTCCCATGAATAATAATAATGTAGTTCAGACGTGGCAGGTACACGTCATGTTTACAAGTATTACCAATAATTTACAACATAGGTTATTTGACATGATATTGCCGCAGTAGCTTAGTGAATTCGTATTGAAAATCGTAACAAGAAAATGGCCTTAGTAGTTGAATGAAAGGCTGATGAGAAATTTATAATTTTGAAAAATTAGGCTTCCTATGTGCCAAAAAACTTTGCTTACTGATCGCTTTTTCTGACTGTCTTCATCGATTACAAACTGCAAAGTCTGTGTTAGAGTATCCGAAGTTGCAGGTATTAAGATAGCCTGGTAGAATGGTAAAAGAACTATAAGGGTGAAAACATGAGTCTTAGAGGGGCTATGGGTGAACAGCCTAAATATCACTCTGTGGTTGACTAGTTACCATTCAATCAACAAAACGTTCTATTCCATGAACATAGGTAGATGGAAGTCACTACTCTCATCATCAGTGTTTGCTGGTCAGTTACTCTAATATTCTGTTAAACGGGAAGGGTTTTTTTTCTTCAGTATTTTTCCACAGTTTCTGTATGTTCACTTTTGTAGTCGCATTTGCATATTCTTCAACTTTCTTCTAATTTCGTTAAGATCTGCCTAATTTTTTTGATTTTGTTATTTTAATGAGCAGCGCAGTACATGTTTTTTTCGACTGCACTTAAAACCACAACGTTAGCCTGACGAGTTGGAATGTCCTCACACGTAAGAACCACGGCTCTCTCTTTGGAATTAAGGAAACCAACCGAACGCAAACTATGCAGAAAAGATTGATTATTATATACTACGTTGGTAATCTACAGTTCATCAGACCAGGAACAAATATGCTGTTTCCCACCTGAGTGGTACGGACAGAGTAAAGAAAACAATGTTACTTAGTTGCACATATTTGTTTTTTACGTCAAAAGAATCTTCTAATTTATAACAGTGCAGTGTATTCAGTGATATTACCGTCTGACAGCTTTAAGGATGACTGATAGCTGAATGAAATCAGCTGTCGACTGAGAGAGTGTGATTCTCTAAATTGACTATAGTTTTGCTTCACACTGACAAAGCAACTGAAATGTTTTCAATAATGATAATAATAATAATAATAGTTTGCTCTCAAACAACAATATTCTGAGTGAGACACGCCAGTTTGCAGGGCAATTTGGAATGTTACAAATACTGCAGGATTTAGTGCAGTAAATTACTCCGGTTGATAAATCCAAATAGGAATAAACGTGTATTACACTGTTAGTTGCCATTCGTCTTTTTTAAATGCTTATTAATAGAATGACAATATCGAAACAAACCTCTCAGGATATGCATAAACCAGAAAAAAGATACCAATCAATCACTTCGAATGTTCACTATACTACTAATACCAATAAACTAGCAGTACATATAAGATTCTAAAAACATATATTAACATACATAAGTTGTTTGCCAATTTCGAATCAAGTGACGAAATCTTGTGGCGCTTTATACACTATATTTGAAAGGCGCACAAATTAAAACAGCCCATGTTAAGCTTGAATTTTAACAAGACGTAATGAAGAGACAAGATTTGAAATAGGCTGAACGAAATTATACTGCTTTGGCGTAATAGATTCAAACGTGACATGAAAAATTTAATTGTACACTAGTTGCATTCTTTATTCACCACACACCATTTCTTTTAGCTATGATCAATTTTCAGGACCTACAAGTACGTTTTGAAATGGTCGAACTTAATTAAACACATTTTTTTTCATTGGGACCTCAGATGATCTGAAACTTCTTAGGGACGAGTATTCCAAACAACTTTATTGAGTGTAAGAGTAGAATGGGTAAATTTTGGGTTCGATTGCTGAGAGGATAATTACCGCTGGTCACAGTAGTATTACATTAGGAATGAGGTACTGTGCTAGAGCCAGAATTCGAACTGCTTCAGTCAATATCTGCATTTGATAGCCTCACAGTGACACTTCTAGGTACAATAATTCAAAAACGATAATGGTCAATATGTTTCTTATAATGACATAAACGGTGTTACAAATGAAACAGAAGAGGTGTAATGACCAAATTACCTATATTTGATATGAACATATAGTTAACAAAACAAGGTTTATTCTGTTAGGCCAAACTGCGTTCTTCTCTATAGCTAACAAAGCGTTTTTGAGTTACTTACTTACTTACGCCTGTTACCCCCAATGGAGCATAGGCCGCCCACCAGTTTTCTCCAACCAACTCTGTCCTGGGCTTCCCTCTCCGATTCTGTCAAATGTTTGTTCATTCTTCTCATATCTTTCTCTATTTCTCGGCGTAGTGTGTTCCTTGGCCTTCCTCTTTTCCTTTTGCATTGAGGGTTCCGTATAAGGGCTTGTCTCGTGACGCAGTTCGGTGTTTTTTGTAGTGTGTGTCCTATCCACTTCCAACGCTTATTCCTGATTTTCTCCTCCACTGGAATCTGGTTTGTTCTCTCCCAAAGTAAGTTGTTGCTGATGGTGTCTGGCCAACGAATCCGAAGTATTTTGCGTAGACAACTGTTAATAAACACTTGAATCTTCTGGATGATGCCTTTCGTAGTTCTCCAAGTTTCCGCTCCATATAGTAGGACTGTCTTGACATTTGTATTGAAAATGCTGATTTTGGTTTTGGTTGAAAGTTGTTTGGAGTTCCAAATATTTTTCAACTGTAGAAATGCAGCCCTCGCTTTGCCAATCCGCGCCCTCTCATCTGCATCCGATCCACCTTGATTGTCAATGATGCTGCCCAGATATGTAAAGGTGTTTACGTCCTCGAAAGCATCTCCATCAAAAGTGATTTGGTTGGTGCATGTTGTGTTGCATCGGAGAATTTTGCTTTTTCCTTTATGTATGTTGAGACCTACTGCTGCTGAGGCTGCTGCTACACTGGTCATATTCTCTTGCATTCGTTGTTGCGTGTGAGATAGAAGAGCCAGGTCATCTGCGAAGTCCAGATCGTCCAGCTGCGTCCTAACTGTCCAGTTGATACCGTGCTTCCCTCCAGATGTTGACGTTTTCATAATCCAGTCGATGACCAGGAGAAAGAGAAAGGGTGAGAGTAAGCAACCTTGCCTGACACCGGTCTTCACCTCGAAAGAGTCTGTTAGCTGTCCTTCATGTACGATTTCGCGGTTGAATTCATCATAAGAATTCTGTATGATCTTAACTTGCTTTCATATGTACTTGGAAATCGACAAGTGTTACCAAAAATATGGGACCTAATATCTACCATCAGTGATTTGATCAACCGTTTCCAGAGGGTAGCCAAAGGTCAATATTCAGTGAAGGAACCATACCGTAATCTTGAGTTTAGTTAGACACCACCTAATTTTCATGGGCTCGGTAACAAACAACAGAAATGAAAATGACAAGGGTAAACTTTAATCAGAATAAAATACTCATGGCTGAGAAACATAAAACAGGGTCACAGAATTCCTACGTAAAAGTTAAATACGAAGCATGGTCAAAGAGTAAAGAATCGACCACACAGTCCAGTAAAATACCCGAGTTTTCAGAGTAGTCTTTCCGCTTTAAGAGGTACTGTATGGAGAAATGTAAGTACGAACAAAACTAGTGGTACCTTAACGGTACTTCTTTCTTCAAACTAATACAAACAGATGATGAAACCCAATCATCATAACAGCAGAAAATTTGCCTATCAGTCAAGGATAAAGAGTAGGTCATTTCAGCTTGCTCCAAGAATAAGGAATCAATAAACTTATAAGAAGTACTATTAATTACCAGTTATAAATAGCAAACGTTCATAAAGTAAAAGGAACGTACTTTTAAATTAACCTCATCGAACAGAGGCAATCAGTTCACAAAGTATCGATCAAACAAGATCAGTCTAATATGACGAAAGCCATAAAACAGTGTTAAGTAAAATAAAGACAAGACAGTTTATAAAAGACTCAGCAACATCAAGGAACTAATTACAATTCAGAATTGATAAATAATGTAGTGATTATAATAATAGTCAAGCCCAAAAGTAAGGCCTTACTTGGCAAGTATCATGTTTGGAAGAACTGATGAGAGGATTACACTGTAAACTGGCTATAATCGGGCTTCCGAATGCCAAAGTTAACTGCCGCTGACCTCACAGGCTTCGATTAAAAACAACTTAACGTCCAGTGTCCAGTCTTCCGATATTGTTATACGTTCTGAATGACAAACCACTTTGTCTAGGATGTAGTGCTGTTTCACTAGTCCTATACATTGCAATATCCAAAAGATTTGTGATAAGTATGTTAAAGCCAACAAGATTTTAACATCTGCAACCTAGAAGTTATGACCATATAAATATTTCATGATTAGGTTGCAAAAATACTCTTAATATCAATGAAAACCTTATTATATTGATCTCCAATACATTTGCACTTATAATGTAACCTTTTAAGTGTACTGAGTTTTGAGGCCAAAGAACACATTACACCGAGAAATGGAGACAGACATCAGAAGAATGAACAAAAATTGGACAGAACTAGAAAGAGAGGCCAAGGACAGAGTAGGTTGCAGAATACTGGTCGGTGGCCTATGTTCCATCGGGGATAACAGGTGTAAGTAATTAAGAGTTTTCACAGTCACTTTTAGTTTGACTAGCAACTTTTATACAATTCAGCTGACTTGATTGCTTCCATAAATACAAACAAATACCAACTTGTTCAGTTCTCTTTGTTACTTTTAAGGGAAAATATGGTCATTATTTCGTCTATTGTTACAATTAATAACACAATCTAAAAACTTCAAGTCCAACGTTTTTCATTGCAACCGTATCACAGAGAGAAAACAGTTATTCAAAATTCGACAAGTTTATATATGTATATATATATTAGTTGTGTTTGTGTGTCTGTGCATGAAACAGTCATTTTAATAGTGTCATTGACCAAAATCAAGCCTGTAAATTATAACCATGTGCATAAATTAGTTTACATATATGACAATAAAATTATATATATTCATATATATAGTATTAAAACGAAATATATCATGATGAGAGTTACGAGGAGATTTGGGTCAATTTGGAATAGTGTTTTTATCATTATCGTAGTATGTAAGTAATCTCGTCTGTAAACTATAACCTATTATTAATATTGTTACTATGATGTATATTTCTGAAACTGGTATTTGTGAGCATGTTTTATTATTCTGCTATAAATTTGAGACACTGTCTTTAACTGTGTTAAAAATGAATCTATTAAAAAGTTACTAAGTCTATATTCATCGACCCTTTCAGCCTTGTAAACGATAAAGAATTCGAATAACGTGAAGAATCATTGTTAAAAACTGTGTTTTCCTTTTTAGAACTTCATTATTCATTACCGCATTCTACACTAATATCGTACTTAATAACACTTGAGATAATTAGTTATTGTAATTTCCGCATGCAGAAGCATGATTGTTTATATAAACATGACGGGTTTATGATTTATCTGTTGTCTATGAAATTAAGTAACATTATTGTTTCATTGAAATAATAGTCAAGCTAGTCCTATCATGATCAGCTGTCTGAACGATACATTTCCACCATAATGACATGTTTATTTCAGCGAAAGTTCAGCAACATTTATCAGAAAAATTATCGTCAATGTATCTTAGAGTAGGTAGTAACCTTACAGATCTTGATTTGGTTTATGTATACATTTATTCAGCTTACAGCCTAGGGTGGTTATGGATTATGTGACTAAAACTTTTCTTAAAATATTCAATCAATATTTACAGACTTATCAAAATCAGATCTCGGATATGAAGAATGAACGTAGATATTAGTCTGACCTAGAGTTTCCCACTTTCTTCTATAATACTGATATCACTGTATTTGGATACTGGATGTTGAAAGCTTTTAACAAGTCCTATAATTCTAGAAAAAAATCAGAACAACACGTATAAGCGAACAATATTGTTTTCGATTAGATCGTCATCAGGCTTTACTCTAATATACATGAATATTTATATGAAAATGTTAAACCAATCAAGGCAATTTGAGTGATAATCACAATGAAATGAAAAAGGCAAAAGTACAAGTGGATAGTAGGAAGATAGGTGAACAGATAGTAGTAGGAAAATTCGGGTGACTTATCGTATACCTCCATCATTTCCCAACGGAGTTCGATCCCGTCTCCTACACATTGCAGAAGCCATAGGAATACGTACATTCAACCCTAATTTGTGTGTTCAGAAGAAATTCGTGTCACCCCTATCTCTACCGAAGCCGGATATGACGTAACTAACGATTGACATTATATTTTTTATTTTATTTTTACACATTTGCTTATTACGTAATGTTTTGGATGTTTTTTGATGATTATTTGAATTCTATTCATCCACCTTTGACCTACTTTAGTTATCATATTTTATAAATTTTCCTACTACTATCGGTTCACCTATCTTCCTACTACCCAATTGTACTTTTGCCTTTTTCATTTCATTGTGATTATCACTCAAATTGCCTTGACTGGTTTAACATTTTCATATAAATATTCATGTATATTAGAGTAAAGCCTGATGACGATCTAATCGAAAACAATATTGTTCGCTTATACGTGTTGTTCTAATTTTCACAATGGGAATCTTTAATATTATTAAGGATATTTAGAAGGTAGAGTAATCTAAAACACAATATACAAATTACTCAGACTAACTTAATACAAAACCTGGCTAAGAGGTTAGATAATAAAACCAAGATTATTATAAAACTTCAGGAAATGTATAATTAAACTGAGATAAGAAAGGCAATCTTTTAAAACGGTAATGCGTAAATTCATTAAAGTTTTGATAGTAATAAGTGGATTTTAAAGAAGTTATTCGTTTTGTCAAGTAGGTATTTAGTGATTAGTATACATTATGGTCAGTAATACATGCATCAAGGTTTCATATATATTGAGCTTAGTTTTGCAGAATTCTTTAGTTATTTCATTTTAATTCGATATATTTTGCAAAAAGGAATGAATATAATTACAATCAAAGCATTTAGAAGAGAAAAAACATTCGTAGAATAACGTATTGTACAGTGAAAATAATTTATGATTTAATCTCATCACTACTTACTTACTTACGCCTGTTACCCCCGATAGAGCATAGGCCGCCAACCAGTTTTCTCCAACTAACTCTGTCCCGGGCTTCCTTCTTCAGTTCTGTCCAATGTTTGTTCATTCCGCTCATATATTCCTCTATTTCTCGACGTAGTGTGTTCCTTGGCCTTCCTCTTTTCCTTTTGCCCTGAGGGTTCCAAGTGAGGGCTTGTCTCGGGACTCAGTTTGGCGCTTTACGTAGTGTGTGTCCTATCCGCTCCCACCACTTCTTCCTGATTTCCTCCTCCATTGGAATCTGGTTTGTTTTCTCCCACAGTACGTTGTTGCTGATGGAGTCTGGCCAACGAATCTGAAGTATTTTGCGTAGACAACTGTTAATAAACACTTGTATCTTCTGGATGATGCCTTTCGTAGTTCTCCAAGTTTCCGCTCCATACAGTAGAACTGTCTTGACATTTGTATTGAAAATGCTGATTTTGGTTATGTTCGATAGTTGTTTGGAGTTCCAAATATTTTTCAACTGTAGAAATGCAACCATTACTTTGCCAACCCGTGCCCTCTCATCTGCATCGGATCCACCTCGATTGTCGATGATATAGTATCACCCTGGCATTTACACATAATTAGGTTCAATAATTTGTTTCAACTACATTAGACCTAGGATCGGTGGCAGTGTATTATTGTCATGAGTAGAATAATGATTTTACTCTTTGAATTCTAAAACAAATTGAGGGAAAAATCATAGGATAATGAGCTAGTTTGTAATGTTATAAAGTTATGAGTAACTATTGATTTTTCGCTAGTTATCAGAGGATCATAGTTCATTAGAAAATGGTAAATGGTCACTAACACAATTCATTGTATCACTATCAGTATATTGAAAATTTTGAAGTGTATCAGAAAACTGCAAGAAAATCAATCGATCAGTACTATACTTTACACCGTTTATTGATTTTACCGATTCACAAAAGGTCAGTATTTGGTTATTTTTCGAAAATAGATCTGCAGTTAATAATTTTAATTACCTAAGAGCATATTATATCGGTCGGTTTATGTGACATTCTATTATTTAAAAAGGTGATATGTTATGATCTTTAGAAAATGATCTACAATGTCATTCATAGCATTTATCATTTATATGATAAAATGAAATGGTATAATTTAAAGTCACTAGTTTATAACTTTAAAACATGTTATATAACAAACAATATGTAAATATAAACCACTTGAATTAATAATTTAAGTGATGATTTTAAATTTCATTGATTTCATCTGAATAGTAATGGATACTGACTGATTCAGTAAAACATAGATACCACCCCAATCATACTTTTCTATAGATAGCCATATTTTTAAACAAATGGTCAATAGCACTTCAAATAAATAACGAGTTAGATTGACAAAAACGATCCGTATGTTTCTGGCAGATGAATAAATGATTTTATAAAGCATAAAGACTACAAATATCTGACCCTGGCATATTTTTCAAATTTTCTACTCATTTCATGTCATACCATTTCTTTCGGCTGGTATAATCTAATATTTGACTCAGTAACATCATTTTGTGTAAAGGATTAAAACAATATAAGAGTAATCATTTGATAACTGATGTGATATTTTAAGGTCCATTACGAAGGGTAGGCCTAGTTCTTTATTCTGTTATTGATTGGTTTGAATATCAAGTCAGAAAAGCGACAAAGTGTACTGTTATTTGGTGTTTAAGTCAGTTAATATTCTAAATGGAAAGGTTATATGATATATATATATATATATATATATATATATATATATATATATATATAAATCTGATATTTTTCAAAATCTATCATCACTTTGTTTCTTTAAGTCAATCAGATGTAATATCACGTAATCACTATCCTTCAACATAGATAAAATAACGCAGGATAAGCAAATGCCTGAAAAAAATCGGCTTGTTTAGTTAACTTGATTCGTTGTAAAAATTTGCATACAAACGCAATACGATTGCTAATGGTAATGTCTAATCCAAGAACAGTAAGATTGTATATCATATGATTAGATTAAGTAGAGGAATATGTATATATATATAAATATTTAAATTATACCAGAACTGATATATATTTATTTACCACAACATTTAAATAAAGTGATAGTATAATAATCATTCTAGTTATCATATAGCACAGAGTACAATAACATTGTTCACATTCATTGAAAAATACAAGTGATAAACATGATAGACGTGATTTTAAATGTTATCAGTTCAAATTGTTCATCATTAAGGTCTAGACAACATAACATTACTGACTGTGCAATAATTGGTTCGTTTTTGACATCACTTGTTTTCTTTATATTATAATGCAGACAAGGTGATTCTAATTTACACTTGACTAGCCAAATAACATCGTATGAATTAATCGTCACATAAAGATAAGTTGAAATTAATGTCAAGCTTCTGATACAATAATCTAATTTATACGCTTTACAATGATGTATCACAGTATTCATCAAATAAACTAGTCAGGAACGATCCGACTTACAATTGACCTGACAAGCAGAAGAAACCTGATATTTCAACCAGTGACAATTAATTTGTCCTTCTATATAATAGTTTTCAAGCACAGTGCTCTGTTTGTGATTGTAAAGATGCTTTTCAATGTCTAACAGTAATATTTTCAGTATATTAAACATTCTTCTCAAAATACTGAAAGTACTAATTCGATGAATAGTTACTTTTTGTCATTTGTTTTGTCTAAGATACAACTAAAACGGTAAATTTAAGTGTGAATCAGTTTATTTGTAGTAAATAATATATTATTATGATTATTATTTTGACATCATATTGTGTTACGTTAATAACGTTTATTTCAAAAAGCACTTATAATCGTATTTTATTGTCCAAATGAAATATGAGATCACACACTTTTACAGTATATAAATATTGAAAATCTAAACCTGCTTAGATAACTTGACTATCTTATTAGTATATCAAACAGAAAAAAACAAACTATTGAATTGTAATACAATTTAATGTAAATTAAGTTTATACTTTCAATTTGGTTAATTTGATATTCGATCACTGAACAGATTTTATAATTATGCAGAGTGAATATCTCGCTCGAAGAGTCATTTGAAAGTAAATGCTACTCCGTTCAATTTGTATAGTGTTTCACACAAATATTCAGATTTTATCAGATGTTAACCAAAAATTATTCATTAACATGTGTAAATTATCTCGCTTTCATAAGATTGAATTATTCATATGATTTTAAATTGTAAAGTTAATTTACATTAAACAGTTTTACAACAGAACGATTTCCTTTCATTTAACGTACATTAAAACAACTGTTAAATTATGTAGACTAGTTTGAGCTGGAAAAATTTATGAAGCAATGTATATAATTGTCATGTTTTAGTTCACCTACATTGTTGTTCAGAAAATATATCTATGGTTGCATTTTTATGAAAGAATTATCGATCTGCAACAATATGGTGGTATCTGTTGTATCTTGAGACCACTGACCATTATAATATGCTAAAGTTGCAAACCAAAATGTTAATTCTAACTTGCCTTTTCTGCACCTACCATTTCTTCCATGACCTGGTGCCCCCGACTTGACCAATTATTTGTCTGTCCAGCACCTTGGACCTTGAGTTGATAGACCCAAGTTTCCATGATTCCTCTGTCCGCAAACTTCTTTCTGTACCCTGCCTTAAATCGAAATTATCAACAGTCAGCCCAAAACTTTTATCAATAATTCAAGTGGATAAACACATGTAATAAAATAATAATCTATTTACGGTAGCTAAATAGATAGAACTTGGAATTAATTTAAACTACTTCGTCTTATTTAAGCCTGTTACCTCAAATAGAGTATAGACCACCAACAAACATTCTCCAACCGACTCTGTCCTGCGCCTTCCTTTCCATTTATACTCAAATACTTTCCATTAATTTCATCTCTGTCTCCGATTGTTAGCGCAGTGTGTTTTCTTTGGTCTTTAGGGTTCCAAATTAAGGAAGACATGCCTCGTGATGGAGTCCTATGCGCCTTCAGCGCTTTTTCCTAACTTCTGCTTCAGCTAGAATCTGGTTTGCTTGTTCCCACAGTAGGTTATTCCTGAAAATTGTTTCTTCAAAGACTGATTAAATGAATATGCAGTAAACTTTTGAAGAAAAACAGATATCATACATGAGTTGAAACACCTACTCAATAGCTTTTAAAAAAAAATAAAATTTCATAATTTGGAAACAAATAAAGTGAATAACAATCAGTTGACTTGATTACTAGTCTGAATAGAGAAAAATGCACATCAACTTTGGATTGATTTATTCAATGGATTTATTAAATTAACTTCACATGACTGAACATGAGAATAAAACGTTTTGAAAATTTGAAGTAGGTTGGATGGAGCTTAGAAGACTCTTTTTTTCAATCTAACTTTGTATCGATCTATATTTTGCTGAGTGCAGTGAAACGAGAATTTTCTATTTCATTGGCCAGTTTATATACTCTTAATTTTAAACAGGGATTTCAGCCTCACTAGTCCTCACATATGATTGTTTTACTATTCGACAGCTTTTAAAACTATTATGATGACACCTCAAAGGAACTGAGTCAGCTCAAGTGATTTTCAAATTTATTCACTTATTAACAAAACCCAATCATATTCAAAACTATTGGTAATAACCGTTAATCTCTCTCTCAACAACTTTGAGCTCCATCAAACAAGATTGAGTGTTAGGACTTGCGGAGCTCATTTTGAAATCAATAACTAGTAGTTAAGTATAAGGTCAATGGTCGAATACTCCTTTGCTATCAATGACTCTCTAACAGAGGAGTCCCGTACCAGGACGAAACGGCCGTCCAGTGCTGTCAGGTTTCTAATGGTGGTCTAACACTGATCGATTCATGGTTTCAAAAATGTGTAACAGATATCATTGCAAAACGGTAAGGAATATTTGATTGAACAACAATCATCAACTATAAGTTTTTTTTTACACAAATCTCTTATTCTTTTTTAAATGATGATAAGTATTTCAGGAGTATAAGAATAATTTCTTTTTTCTTTTTTTTTTCCAGTTATATGTACATCAAGTGAATTTTGGCGAGAAAACAATTTACCATGTAAAAATCTTGGAACATTTTGTCGTAAATTACCATTTAGTCAAAGATGTTGTGATACAACAGTATGTGATTTGAAAGCACCATTTTCTGGTACATGTGTACGATGTTTGAATAAGGGTAGATTTTGTTTACGAAGTCGTGAATGCTGCAATAATTATTGCTTTTTCTTTCAATGTCGTTAATTGTAATTTAATAAAAATCATTTGTATAATTTATTCAACCAATCAAGCTAATCATGTAATAAATATACACATATATACATATACACTTCATTATTGTTCGTTCTACTTATTTAATATATTACTTATATGCAGATAAATAAATATAAATGCATAACATTCCTATCTATACTTTTTTTTTAAACCAATCAAGTACTTGTATACTATGAAATCACCAGACGTATTTTAATCCAAAGGTCTTGATAACCCATGACATAAAAACAAACCTACTTCTCTATATTAATTAATTAATTAATTAATTAATTAAATAATTACTTAATTAACAAAGGGAAGTTTTTTGTTTTGTTTTAATTGAACAAAAATTGAAGTTACATTACTTAATAAAAACACATGTCAATAAAAATGTAAACTAATATGTTATAACACACTGAATAAACTGAAACAAATCATAAGTGAAGTGTACCAAGTTCATATATAAGTTTTTATATATATCAAATTATTTCATACAATTTAAATATGTGGGCGGTTAAACTTAATTAATGTTTAGCTCAATGTTAATTCTTCATTGATTAATATCGGGTGCGGGGGCTATACAACTGATAAACAAAATGACCAATAGATAATCAAAATATACTATTAACTAAGTGGATTTACATTACATAGTTAAAAGTGAGAAAAACATTAAGTAACTTGATAAATTTTGTAAAGAAATATAATGTATAAACAATTTGGATATCAGTAGTAAAGACTGCTACTGTAAGATACTACTATCTGATAAATTCATTGGAATGGGTACATTAGAAATTGATTAAAAAGACATACAGGTTTGTTTAACTGAAAATCTGAAACTAAAATTCGAACGATTTAGAGCTTCATTGTTTTTGAAAGATTCCTTAGAGCATAGACAATACGAGATGACAATTACTTGATGCCTAATCTGTTCCAAATAAACAAACTTATTTCGAACTAACTGAAATCTTTGCTGTATACATCGTATAGCCACCAACTGGAGATTGTTTATGATCAAGAATAAATAGATTTATAGTATAATTGTCAGCCTTTTGTTTGCATCATTCATAAACAAACAGCAGTTCATGGAACCAGGTCATGGACAATGTGATTCCTTCAGTAAATACCAGACTACTTAATAGTACATTTAATAAGTAGTACTTATAAAGTTAAATGTATGCAGCTAACACAGAAATCAAAAATAATATTCAGAATTTCATTTTACCATTACGTGACATATTCAAGCTGCAAAATCTTCAAAACTTTTAATATTTCATTATGAAAATATTTAAGTTTGGCGGTTATTTCAGTTAACAAACGTAAATAGCAAACAAAATAGAAGAAAGTATTTATAAGGTATTCAGCAAAATATAAATCGTAAATTTTTAATAAATTTCTAAATTGATTATCAGTAATCAACGATAAATACCAGAAATGGTAATGATTCTTATTAATTAATAATAAATAACTTTCAAAAATGTCTTTCAGATATATAAATTCTTAATTACTTTTGTTCACATTCGAGTAGAGATCAATTTACTACAGGTAATTATACAGACTATTATAAGTTGGCTACCTCATTCGCAATACATAGACATAACAGAGGTATAAGTATTTTTAATCACTGAAAAATTCTTATCATAGTAAAACACAGATATATGAATGAAGAATATTCTTCTCAATAAATTCTCTTCAGGTTCTACAATTACATATCAGAATTAATAATCTAAAGGGCGGTCAGGTTTAAAGTAAAATACATTGTTTGCAATTATAGCATGTTAATTTAGAATGGTTTGTAATATAAATAAATCGTTAATGTTATCATGACTAATATGAAGTGTGTTCACTTGAATAAGTTTATACGTTTATACTAAAACTGTGAACTTAATTATGGGAATAAATATAATTTACATGGTATGAAAGAGACAATAAAGTTATTACATATTAAGAATCATGTTATATGTGGAATAATATAAATTAGGTACAAATTATTAAATAGGAGGTAGATAATGAATAAATTTCTCGAAAATGTTTGCAAGCGTTTTAGTAATAATGATCACATCTATATTCATTCTAGTCATTGATTTGACAATTTCATTTGACGAATAAACATTATTCAAATGAACACATCATATTAGTCATGATAACATTAACGATTTATTTATATTACAAATCATTCTAAATTAACATGCTATAATTGAAAACAATTTGTATTACCTTAAACCTGACCGCCCTTTAGACTATTAATTTTGATATGTAATTGCAGAAACTAAAGAGAATTTGTTGGTAAGACTATTCTTTGTTCATGTATGTGTTATACGTAATCGCCAGTAAGAGTAGGTTATACTAATGACCTTGAGCTGTCTATCAGTCAATCAGGAAACGCTGCCTACAACAATCAACAACAAAAACAATAAAAATATTAGTGGAGCAAGAGGTTTGATCGAAATAATCAACCTTCGCATGTTGAATTATTTCCTTATTGTGGAAGGGAAAGCTAGTTTTCATATTAGCAGTCATGCTAGAGTTAAGAGTTAGAGTTGTTAATCCTCAGAGTTTTCTACATCAGCTGAGACCAGCTATGATGCAAAAAGGTTAGGGAGGGTTATGTATTAAGAATTGAGATGAATCTCCGAGTTAGTTTTTAACTTTACAGTTAAGGTTTTCATTATGAACTAATGATGAATCAATGCTTTCTTACTTTATGTTTGCGATCTTAAGATACTTGTAGTTGAGATTTAGAGTAAGAATTACAAAGGGAGGATACTATTCAGCTTGACTAAATGCTCTTTAAAACACACTAAATCTCAACAAGTACTGTAATATACAATTTACCTTGAGAGCAGTTATATTTAGTAAATTAGCGTAAGTACTATCTTAAATTCAATTTTCGGTTTCCTAATGGAGATTTCTATTGATTTCAGGCATTTTAAGTACCATTTAAGGCTAAATTTTACTTCCTTAACAATAACATTCAAGTGAACTACTGTCGCACTTTAAATTTCGCGCAAAATATTTGAGGTGTTATCCTAATTCTGATTGGCTAACTCAAGGCAGTAGTTAATACTTTTACTCTATTCACCTTATCTATTGGTGAAAACAAAACTAGTTTACTTTAAATTTCACTCTGAAATATAGAGGAATCAGATTGATTTTAATCATAGTTAAGATTTCATCTATCTAACCTTAAGTTTCGAAAATCAGTTTGACTTAGTGTGAGTAAATTAAAATGTTTAGTTTTGTTCATATGAGTCAATCAGCTCAGAGCCATCATATCATTTATATGGCATGCATATTTTCACAAAGGTCAATATAATAATATATATACACGTCATTATGTTTACATAAAATATAAATGAGTTCATCTGTTAGGAATGTCGGATATTGATAATGAGTTTTTGGTTTTCACTTTTAGCAACGGAATGAACAATATATATATATATATATATATATATATATATATTTATAGAGAGAGAGGGATGAAGAAAGAAATAGAGCCTCTAAGGTGAGAGCGCTAGTCCTATAAGATTGACACAACATTGACATGATGCTATGGAACATCCACAGTTCCACTCTGAAAGACCGTTGTAAAATGGATAATGCTGTGGAGGGTCAGTTAGGGGCTTAAATCAACTTATCAGTGTTTTTCACCTAAGTATACGCTAACTGATTGATGATCCAATAACGATCAGGTTCCGAATGAATTGAAAATGGCACAGTTCTTGCAGGGCTTCAACAGTACCATGTAAAAAAAGTATGGGGAGAAAGAAACAAACATCAAATAGGTTGAAGAATGTTATGAGAACAGATTGGCACTAGACTATTGAAGTGGAATAGCATACAATTTGAATTTGAATTTTTAAGCATATTAAGCAGTTACAAAAATTTGCAAATATACATATACATATAAATATACATAACATATAGATATGTATTCATTATTAAATCTTTATTTTGATATTTAACTTTATTGATTTGTACTTTTTTGGACTAGCCCTTCAGATAATCACTCTTCTATGTGCGTTAAATCTGAGAAGTATACTAAGTGTCCTTGCACCAGAACGAGCTTTGTACCATTAGCTACGTACAGATCATGAATAAGCAATTTACATAATGCCAGACAATCAACTGATAGAACAGTGAGAAGACGTAATTGATCTGAAAAATGTGATGTATTTGATCTAGACATTTTGAATAATCTGGTCAAACATATATAGTTGTCACGCGACCGTCTTCAAGTTATTGGTTAGGCGGCAGGGAAACGTATGTCATCTAATCAATCTCCATACTGTGTGCAACTGCTTCACGCCACATATCTTGTACTGTAAGTGGATAGAATTCATTGTAGAATGATACTAGAAATATAGAGTCTGCAAACAGACCTTCTTCTTTCGCAGGTTTCAATTTAAAATAACTATGTCCATCTTGAAATGGCACTCTTGGTATGCCTAAATTTTGGGCTAAAATTCCCGTTACATAGACGTCATCTATCCATATGGGTGGTTTGAACATTGAACACCAGTATAAGTATGGCGCTAGTTTCATATCCATAACATATCCAAAGCCTTCACAATATGTTGGAAATATTTTTTCAGGAAATTCTTTATCAGTTATTTGCCATTTAGAACGTTTCATACTGTTTGGCCGTTCAACTTTAACATTACTTGTAGCAGTACAGTAGAATGAACCATTTAATTGGGTATGTTTCAGTTCTAAATAGCGTGTCAAATGAAATATATCGACAAAAGTATCATCATCTACTTTGGCTAGAAACGGCACATTGTTACAATAACCTTTAGTAATCCATTCCATAATTGTTATATGTTTCCTTGTCATATTGTAGTAATCTTCAAAAAATGCACGTTGAACAATGTCACTATAATCAAAAGAAGAATCGGTTGCTAACAAAAAGGACATTTAAAGAAGGCGGCTAGAATATTTAGGAGAATGAGAAAATCACTAACCGTCGTAGTGAAGTTAGATTTTTTTAATCTTCATCAGCAAACGATATCTATGGACTCAGGAAACTGACTAATAACCATGCTGTTATTACTGTTTCACCCAGGTCAAGGTTTATCTTCAGAAAATCAAAATAACATTGCCAATTTAATTTACTTAACAGTAGTGTCTGTACTCGATTTCAATATACACTTTGGACATAAGGGCTAGTTTTACTAGCTTACAGCCCGATCATGATATTTATGTTTATAAACAAGATGTATTTCCAGTATTTTCAAGAGAAAACTCTGATTCCTTATGAGCATCAATTGGAGTTATTGTGATATAAAAAGACTTTAATGTTGAACCACTGGAATATTCCAAAATTAAACGAAGGGATGCTAAGAAAACAATAATAAATATTTCATAATTTTAAATTTGTAACAATTATTATATGTAAAATAAAATATTGTTAAAAGGCTAGTGAACTTCTCCAACGAATCAAAACAGTCAAAGTGATATAATTTTCTGAATGATCCCTTCAGTAAGTCAGTCAGTTGCAACGTAGAACTTCGTACGTACGTACATAAGTTCATGTTGACATACCACATTAGCACAGAGACGCGAATGTCAAATCAAATCCCATAGTGATAAAGATAGTAGAGGTATTAATGGTGATGAAGAAGAATAGGGTTTGAAGATATTATTCAAGAAGTATGGTTCAATGAGAAAAGCTTAGAAAGACAAAGGTAGGGGTGCTGACGAAACCAGAAGATTAGGATTTGAGAGAGCACAACGAATGGATGCACTTGCGCCATTGCAAACGATTCTGAGTAATGTCGTTCAAGGTCTCTAACCATTGTTGACTTTCGTCTCGCGGACCCCAACCAGGTAGTCTGTATCTACCAACATGACTCAGTCCACCTGTCAGTGACTTCATGGATTTGTGCCATGTTTTGGTCTGGCCGCCCGTAGCTTTCTTCCAACCTACTCACAAAAACCACAAAACATAGCTCGTCGAGGCAGTCGGTGGTTAGGCATTAGTAACACATGTCACAACCAACTCAACTGATGAAGTTTCACCACTTCATCTATTGATCTGCGATCCTTACCTAGTACTTGTTTCCTAACGACAGCATTGCTTACTCAGTTGAATGATCCCTGAACTAAGTAATAAACGACAATATCGAATGATTTCATTTCGTATATTTTTATTGATCTATTCACATAATTTCAAACTGTTAGAAAGTAGCAATTAAACGAAGTTATAAAAATGCGCAAAATATTTTCGCAAAAAAATAACCTACATATTTATGTGTTCACTGATCAGTGAACTATTATTTTCCTAAATTATAAGGCTTAATTTGAGTTATTAAATGTTTTAATATCTTTAAAACATCCATAAAACATAGTCAAAATAAAGTATGAAAGTTGCTATTCAACTTCCTGTTTTAAATCGTTAAGTTCAGATATTCAAAATCTTAGTTTCTGGACTCAGTATTATTTGACCAAGTGAAATTTATAACAATTGCACGCATTTATTTTATGAATATGAACGTATGCAAACTTTAAATTACAAGATTCTTAGCCATTAATGTTGATCATTTAACTTTATTTCCACCTTTCAAGAAAGACGTAGTTAGGTGATTTCATAAAGATTGATTCATTTTGAAGATAGTTTTTACTATTCCATGGTGATCAAAGTCGGAAATGTGAGTTGTCAACTTCATAGATAGGAGTATGAAGAAATATCTCAAGCTGTCATACTTGATGATCCTGAGTTTGTCCTGTGTGTAGTTGCGGATGTACACTGGTGAAGACTTCAACATTAGGATGAACTAGCTGTTATATGTTTGAAAATAGTGTTAGGAAACGCCGAACGTGGATTTCCTATTGATCAGGATTCGCAAGCAAAACATACCGGCGGTTTAGAAGGAAGGAATTTACCTTCACTATGGAAGTTGATGTTAAGTAACAGAAATTAGTCGCCACACTGCTACTTAATCGATACGATTCAATCAGCAATATAGCATTAGGCAAATATGAAAATAGTCACTGCTTAACTGATCAATCGATTAAACCATTCCAGTCTTACAAATGGTCACTGTGGTTCAAATAGCCTAAAATGGACTAACAACTGTCTAATGCTTCATTAAATCATAAAAAGTTATTCAATTGATATCAGTTTGAGTTATATAAATATTATCTTGGAATGTTAATTTCATGAAGAATCATTAACTTGTTATTCATATTAACTTGATTTAAGGTTGAGATTTTGTATTTTGTCTTGATGTTTCACTGCATAATTAGATATAATATATAATCAGGTTAAATTTAAAAATGAACTGATTATTTTAATCGATAGGACGATGAAACAAAATCATTTATGAATTATAGTGTACAAAAAAAACACATCACATGATCAGAATAGTAAAACATAGTATTTTGTTTCAAATACTATTTACAAATGATCTGTCTGACTATTATTATTATTATTGTTATTATTATTATGATAAATTAGTGATTATACTGTAACTGGGCCCTTATAATGAAATAATATAATTTACGCTGATTGCTTATCCAAATTACATGTAATCTTAATTGATGACGAAATTCTATCAGTTACAATAAATATCATGGTTTTAACACTAAATTAAATTTTATTTGTAATCATGAATCGATCATTGTTAGACCACCATTAGAAACCTGGAAGCACTGGACGGCCGTTTCATCCTGGTATGGGACTCCTCAGCAGTGCGCATCCACGACTCCTGCACCTCGCAGGATTCGAGCCCAGGACCTTCGGTATTGCGCGCGAACGCCCTAACCGTTAGACCACTAATGGTGTTAATGTCTAACTTGATCAAATTCACAGAGTTGCGCAACCTCATACACTGTATACACCTGAACATGTTTGAACTTCACTGGTCACGACTTCCCACTAGAACTCAGAGAAGATTCCTCACCAAGTTAGTCACTAGTGAATACATGTTATTGCATTGCGGGGTTGCTGTGAAGATAAAACTTAACAATCTTAAAAAAACAACCCCGCAATACTAAATTAAATAATTCGCTGATGAAATTCACTGTTTCCGGTATTGAAAAGTGTAACTAAATCGACAGAAGTATCTTGAAAATAGCATGTATATATAAAAATATGTCATTAAAGCGCACTTATTACACTTGAAAAAATTCATGTCATTCTAAATATAAACGTTTAAATAACAAACAAAATAAGTGATGAGTATGATAATTAACTAACCCATGAATTCGTTCTTCCTCCACAATTAGTTTCTGTTCTTTAGAATTATTTGGCAGACCCATAAAGAAAAGAACACCAATTTTACGATTCTTAACACGGTTTAATGATCCCCATGTTCCACGAATTAAATCTCTCTTCTGACGATGGCTTGGATGAGTGTGTACAACTAACAAAATCCATAGATTAGACTGTTTGTAACAAAAATTTGGTTGACTAAAAATGAAGTCACTATTTTCAATAAGCATCGGTACATCTTCTTTTGATTTTGCGCATAAATTAAATACTTTTATTATATCAACGAAATGTGAATCTTTAACATGTAACTTTAAATTATTGCTGACTTCTGTCGGCCATTTTGACAGAATTTCTAAAAAATCCTTCCTTGTTTTAATAAATGTAGTTGTAGGCTTGGTTTTCAAAATGGATTTCATTGAAGCAGGATTCAATAAAATAATGATAACAATACTGATTATGGTTAAAGAATGAACTGTACAGAAACTGGACATTATTTAGATGAATAATTAGTTAGTTAACGCAATGTATTATTATTATTATATTTTTGTGCTTTATTGATTTTTCATTAAAATGCATATTACAAACATAATGAAATAAGTAAGTAAAGTATCAAAGTATCAAAGTTCAATTTTCTTCTCAATAATCAACATATTTCAATTGACTGAATGTTGATCTATTTATAACCTAATCTTTTTTTAACAGAATAATACATACTAGTGTTTTTAAACAAAATATGAAACAAAAAGAGTACATAAGTAAGGTTGGATGAATGAATTATTATTAAAGACTTAAAAATAAGAATTAAGTTTACAAATCAACAATTCACTGTAGTTAATCGTAATTGATGTAATTTAATTGTTCGTTCGTTTTTTTTTTTGGGGAAAACTTACATTACAGAACAAGACCGTGATCGTCAGTCAGTCAGTCAGATGCAACGTAGAACTTCATACGTAAGTACATCAGTTCATGTTGCCATACCACATTAGCACAGAGAAGTAATTATAAATTCAAATCCAATAGTAGAAGAGGTAGTAAGGGAATTAGAAGTAATCGGAGAGGTTAGGATTAGAAGATATTATTCAAGAAGTATAATTCAGTGAGATAAGGTTATGAAGACAAAGGTAGAGGTGCTGACGAATCCAGAAGATTAGGATTTGAGAGAGCACAACGAATGGGTGCACTTGCGCCATTGCAAACGGTTTTGAGCAATGTCATTCAGGGTATCTAACCATCGATCATTATCATCTCGCGGACCCCAACCAGGTAGCCTACATCTACCAACATGACTCAGTCCACTTGTCAATGACTTCATGGATTTCTGCCATATTTTGGTCTGGCCGCCCCTAGCTTTCTTCCAACCTACTCCTACACTACAAAACAAAGCTCGACGAGGCAGTCGGTGGTTAGGCATACGCAACACATGTCCCAACCACCTCAACTGATGAAGTTTCACTACTTCATCTATTGATCTGCCATTCTTACCTAGCACCCGATTCCTAATAACAGCGTTGCTCACTCGGGTGTCCCACGATATACGAGCAATGCTTCGAAGACACCTATGATCGAAAACCAGTAACCTACGGATATCTTCTACTCTCACTGGCCATGTTTCACAACCATAAAGTAAGACGGAGCGAACTACTGCACAGTACACTCGTCCTTTAGTCATCAAACGGATATCACGCCTACGCCATAAGTGACGCAGGTTGGCAAAAGCCAATCGAGCCTTCTGTATCCGAGCTGAGATTTCGTCAGTCACCAGGCCATCGGCACTGATGAGACTACCCAGATAAGTGAAGCGGTCTACAAGTTCGACTACTCCACTCACTCTCTATCATGATCGTGATCGTATATATAATATATATATATATATATTTTGTTTTCTGTCATATTGCTCCTAACAAATCAGAAAAATTGAATTACTGCCCAATTATTCTAAATTATGGACATGTTAACAATAAACTTTTATTGTGAAGGTGCAATATTTCCGAAAACTGAAGTATTTAACAGTCTTGATGGCAAGAACCAAAGCTGCCTGTGGGGAGATTCGTCCAAAATTTAGTTTAATAACAAGATAAAACTTAATTATTAAACGATTATTAACTACTTTACCGTTGTTTACAGTTTCTCTTTAAATCAGTGTATGAAGTAAAATTCTGCGATAAATTCTAAGATGATAAGTCAGATGCTTTGAACATAATATTAAAAGTCGATGTAAGTTTTCTCCACAAATCAGTATTCTTGGATTATCATTAGAGAATTGTGGAGATTACTGAATTTCATGGAAATCACGAGGAAGCTGCCCACCGAATGAGGTGGCGCAGTTTCGTGGACTGATTGAAGTCAGATATTAACACAGTTGGATGCTAGCTCAGTGATCAATAGGTTACGTGTTTGCGCGCGAGATCAAAGGTTCTGCGTCCGATTGTGAATGAGTCTAGTATTAAGACGAAACGGTCATCCAGTGCTTCCACGTTTTCACTGGTGGTCTAGCAGTGATCGATGCATGACTTCAGTATTGATAAATTATTTGTTACATAAAACAATTTGATCGTAAGTAAAGTATAATCAGGAAAATTTTGCCCAAAATTTATTTGGCTAGTATTGACACAACACTCTTCTATCATCAAGAAAGCAAAATATTCAGATTGTATCTCTACTTAAAATCACCAATCATTTCAAGAATAAAAACACAGATATTTCAAAACATCATCAGTTAGAAAGCATTTCAGTTGTTTTAATATTTGGTAGTTGAACTCATCAAAAATCGAGCAATACAATATGTATGTTGCACCACAGTGATATGTACATTTTGGAATCGCGATACGGAGTTTTACATAGATATCATATCCTTCTATCATTAGTGAATCAAACAGACAACTACTTGAATCATTTTACGTTGCACTGATCACTTCTCTAGTCATTTATATGACTAAAATGTAAATGAGTGCAGAATAGCTGTATTTAATCAAATCAAAAATAAACCGCTGAGTGGTTCCTATTTAAATGAATAAGATAGCTCTTCAGCATGAGTGACGGTAATGTGAATGTTCAAAATGAGTAAATTTGATTCTAACCCCATATAACCACATCTCTGCATGAAATTACATTAAATTTCGATGTTTTAAAATAATTATGAACTGTTTCATGATGTAGAAACAAACTAACAAAGTTCACTCAAACTTCAATTGAATATTTCTTCTACCAATCTCCACTTTCATAAATCTATATAATTCTGAGTTAATGAATATTTTAAATTATCTAATGTTTGTGCAATACATGTAGTAAGTATTTTCAATTAAAATAATTATATAACTTGGTTGATACCAACTCATAAAGGAGATTTTTGGCTGTCTTTTCAAACGGCTCCTTTGAAATTTTCCTTTAAAAAAGTGTGATTTAAGCCTTTTTCAGTGTTTTATATCTGAAACTAGTGCACCTTACAGATGACGTCAGTTGGGGATTTTCAAGGACCATTTACTGTTTTGAGTTTACGGTTGTTAAAATAACGTAATAATCAAATTAGTACATCAAGCTAATTATTTAAGCTGACTTCAGTACGATGGGCAAGTCACTTTCTGTCCTCTTCTGCCTAGAGCGAAAGGTTCAAGTTTGAAAAGAGGCTTTTCTTAATTAAAACTCCAGATGGACAGATTTTTTGTATAAGAAATACTAACTCACTAAACATGATAAAATCGCATGGGTAATTAATAAAAATTTAATTCGTGGATCACTCACTTTCCAATCAATTAAGACTTAATCGTTAGGCTTGATTTTTAGGGATTATATTACAAGTACATGTGGAAGGAGTATTTATATGGCTATTTAATAAGTGAATAAATATTATACCAGTACGGAAACATTTCTCATCATAGTAATTAGCTAGCAATTCATTTTAAATCGAAACTAAATGTTTAGAAATTTAAATTGTTTCAATATGGTGAACACTTTAATCTTCAATGACTGGCAATCAATGTGTTAACTTTATCCTTATAATTTAGTATAAGTTACATTGGATAAATGACTTCAATGTTAGTATACACTACACTATCATTTCATAAACAGTAATGATTACAAAACTAATGAGTAAGTTAACTGTAGGTCAAATTTTCTTATCAACCCTAAATAATTTTGTTGAATTAAATGTCTCTTGTTCCTTCAAGAAATTGATCTGTATGAAAAAAATAAGCTGGAAACAAGCCAGTTGACTAGTCATTACGGTCGATAGTGTTATATTACTGAAAATTTTCTACTTTAGATCACATAGTTATAAAAATAAAATGATATTCTACTGGACATATTATAGTGTAACCAAACCTGACCATTAGGTTGGTATTTACGAATACATAGAAACCAGTGAATATAATGAGACAACTAAGTAAAAATAATCAATTACACAGTATTTGGAGATTTTGAAATGGAATTCGATCTGGAAGTAGTTCTTCATGAACTATGGCTCTTGAATGTATAATTACCAACAGTCTATGAAATCCAGCTGAACAGACATTCGAACAAGTATCTGGTTGATTGAAACAAAATGTGATACTGCCTAGCTCTTCTGCTTTGTATGAGCAACATGTAAGTGTTTACACGTACATGTAACAGCTTATTTATAAAGGATACTATTTCGTTAGAATTACGGCAAATAACCTAATTTATTTGAGTATTTCGAACAGACATCTGAATATCGTTACTCACAACAATAGGTCCTATGTTAAATGATAGTAATTGTTTTCAGTAATGAGTGCTCATTTGCTCGGTTGAATAGTTTTAAGAAATTAGTTATGAACATAAACTATCTAGCATTTAATTAAATCAGATTTTTACACATTTGGAATCATCAATCAATCATTGTTAGACCACCATTAGAAACCTGGAAGCACTGGACGGCCGTTTCGACCTAGTATGGGACTCATCAGCAGTGCGCATCCACGACTCCTGCACCTCGCAGGATTAGAACCCGGGACCTTCGGTATTGTGCGCGAACGCCTAACCATCGGACCACTGGGCCGAAACGGCCGTCCATTGCTTCCAGGTTTCTAATGGTGGTCTAACAATGATTGATTAATTTCAAATGTGTAAAAACACAAATCTCCAAAACTGTAACTGGAAAAATCAGATTTTGTTAGTTTTATTTGTAATTTATGCGGAAAATGATCAATAAACATTTTTACCGCTTTTTATACTGGGACGGTTCTTTGGAAATATCTCTGAGGCTTTGCATGGATGATGACTGATTGAAATAGTCCTAATATAGGACATAAAAAAATCATTTCAAGAATAGTAAAAATAATTTTATGAACCTGTCCAGTGATTAAAAAACACAGCTAACAACGTACAAATTATTGTTTGACAAGATGTGATTGCAAAATGAGACAGAGATGTTTGTATTTAGTGCTATTGATACAGATACCAACAAAATTTAAGTAAGGATTATTCTGAAGAATGCTCTACATTAAATAATTAGATGATGGAACACTTAATTTAAAACTAATGAGTTTACCAACAAATTCAGAATTAACATACCAACTAGAAGAACTTATGTTTAGGATAGTTTTAGTTACCCTTACGTACAGCCAGAACTACATCTGTTGGAATTTTATGACTATTCAAATGTGATTACTGACTGATCAATCCACCATGGAGTTTTTCCTCTCTACGTTAACATGTTGCTCTAAAATTGATTAAAACAGTCCTGCGTTTTTCCTAAGCTGTATGAATGGGAGCAATCCTTACTATGGCCTTTAATATGAAAAATAAACATATTCAGGAATTCCGATTTACATTTTATCTTTTGAACTTGGCGGTCCACTCTTAGTGTAAGATATCAGTGGATTTCTTATTAAGTTTATACAACTTAATTTTTCAATTATGCACATCAGATTTAGGAAGCTGACTGTTGACAATTCATAGTTGCAAATAAATGAGAAAAAAAAATCACAAATATAAATATATATTTAAAATTGTTTGATGTAGAAAAATAGCACAAATAAACTTAACCGAATACCAAAAAGTCATTTCATAAACAAGTGAAATGATGGACATCATACAACAATAATTATTACAAGTTCCAGAGATGTGGTGAAGTAAAACACTCGGTAATAGAGTTTAATTGAAGTAGTGAATTTAGTTAAGTACTAAGTGAATAAATTGTCTATACATATATATCAAAGAATATAGACATAGATTATGGTTGTTATGCGTTCAACAGAGCGAACACAAAAGAACAAAGCTCAAGAAAATCGAAAAGCATAGATGAATTTTTTTCTGCTTGTAACCCAATCGACTTGTCAATATTTGTCAACTCTCCACCCAGAAAAAAATGTTATTATACAGCTTGTAAATTATCAATAGGATTGAAAGAAGAAAAAAAAACTATACATTAGTAATAATCAAACTTATTTTACAAAAAGAAAACTTGACAAAATTTACATTGGATTACATTATTATATTTTGAGAATCGTGTTAACTCACAAAATTAAATGTTCCGCGCTTAAAACAATTGAACACATTGTTTGAAGAATAAAAGAAAATAGAGCAAAAAAGTAACATAAGATATACACAAATCAATTTTAATTAGAAGTAAACTATTTATAGATAGACGATTCAATAAAAGAAAAAAAACAGTTTTATTCATCTATACACATTGAGAGAGGTCTGGTTGTGAAGATTCAATCAGAATGATAAGAAACCAGTAGAAAAAAAGAAATTACGAAAATAAATTTATTTTTTTTTAAAAAAAAAAGAAAAAAGGGAACTAACAAGAAAATGCAATTCATGAACAATGATGCCTCATTTGTTAACTAACTAACAAATCAAACAATCTGAGTTTATAAATAGCATTTTATTATTATTAAAATATATTATTTGACAATAATAATAAACAAAATGATAATACAAATGAAAGACAAAGAGAACAAAATTAAAAATCCACATGATATTTATTTACTAAAAATTAGAAATTTTTCAAAAGATACACACACAATTTCTACACTTATTTCAGTGTGATTACTCTTTAACTAGTTGGTGTGTAGATAATTTTCTCCATTGTAGTATGCTTTCTATGATCATTTGATTTAATACGGAAATCAACGCCAATTTTTGATTTATTATGTTTTCGTTCATGTAGTTCAGTGGAATTTTTCTTATTATTAATATTATTATTTGTACTTGCTGCATTATTCATATTTTTTATTGGATGATCGTCTGTCATTTTATCTGATTTGGATGATCGAACATTTTCACCGACTGGATTTATATCTTCAGATACAATTTCTGGCTTAAATGAAGCACTTGTAAACACTTCAGTATTTGTAGAGCTTAGTTTTGGTCGAGGAGTATATTCTTTACGTGGAGTTTTATTGTCTGCAGAGTTTATGGAGATCATAGGTACACTTTGAGAAGAATTACTCAGTCCAATTCGAGAGGTGGGGGTATTATCAATATCCCGAATAGATGTATCTTCTATCCTAGTTTTTCGATCACAATAACCGTAATAAATACTACGATAGTGCAACAAAGACTGGCATACTAATAGACAAGAAGAAAAACAATGATGTGCAGCACGATTGCTAATTTCTATAATACTATTAAGTACAGAAGATCGAATTGAATCAGTAAGTTGATTATTACTTTCAGAACATTTATCAAAGCAGTCTAATTTAAATAAAATAAGATCTGAACAATTCAATAATATCATTAATAAACTAGATGAGGTTGGAATACGAGGACGTTTAGATATGCTAACAACACGATCTGACAACTTTGAAAATCTTGACAATGAGTGAAATAGTAGAACAGATATAATAGGATTTTGTAAATCAAGAGTGGATAATATTTCGATATAATTTCGAATTAGGCATATGATCGCTGATATTCTTAGAGGATTCAAATTTTCACTTTCAGTTTTAACATTAGCATCATTTCTTTCGATTGTTTCCTTGATAGAAACAGGATTATGAAAAACAGATGGTGTGGTTAGTGATGGTAGACGAAAGTTGTTAATATCATTTCCAAAGCCTTCTAATTCATTGTTTAAAGGACCAGCTTTTACAAGATAATAATTGCATATACTCAGCAAGCACGATTCCAGCAAACTTAAACTGGTTGAAAATGATGACTGGGATGAATCTGATATATTTGGAACGATTTTCTTTGTTTGAGATGATGAAGTATTATCCTCATATGAATGACATAAATATGAATGCAATAATGAAGGTAATAGAAGCACAACAAAATTCTGTAAAGCTGGTAAACCTGATTTATAAAATAAAAATAATCTTTGACAGACATCAGAAATAATATTAGAGGAGATTAGTTTTTCAAATGTCTCTTCTATATCGTCAACTAGTTTGTTACTTGAATACATCCACGTAATAAATTCATCCATAGCCTCACGAGATGATGGTTTGTAGGCAGATAACCACTTTGATATTTTAGACGGCATTTCAATTAAAACGCACTGAAATATCAAAAAAAAAGTTTGATTTGATCGGGGTGGCATAAAACCATCAAAGCTATAGATTCATTACAAGTTACGAATCACAACGAAACAAACACTTATTAACGTTTATAACCGTAACTTTATGTAGTTTAATCTTATTGACTGATTTATTTAAACATATACACACTGGTATAAAGGGGCACCAAATAATAAAACTGAGGTTGTGAAGAGGTAGGGAAATGGAAATACAATAAAAAGGAACAAAAATTAGTATAATAATGGGAGGTAATAATTATAATAATGATGAGAAAAGTCCAACCAAGAAAAATACAAACGGAAAAATCCTTTCAGTTAAAGAAGTTCCTTTTACTAATACGGAAGAGAGAAAATTACAGCAGAAATACCCCTGACAGACAGATACAACGCAGAACTTTGTACGTAAGTACATCAGTTCAGGTTGCCATACCACATCAAACCATCAGTGATTACTTGAGAATATTGATAAATAACGCACAAATACCTTATCAACTATAACGCGTCGAATGTGCCAGTTCATAACTCTGTTTACTGTTCAAACAGTTCATTTCAATAAACTAGTTCGGCAGTTATCCAACAAGTGTATGTCATCAAACGCCATTAATTTCACTACTTTACATAAATCTGCTGTTGAAAATGGTCGATACATTTTCTTATTTTAAGTTGCTATATAAGAAAAACTAAGATTAGGCAATTACCAGGTGAGCTTGTTAGGGATGCGATTCTACTCTTCCAAATGTAGTCTGTCGCTTCAAGGCAGGCTTGCGTCGGCATGTGATCTAGCAGTAGGGGGTGGAGTAGTTGAGCGTGCCGACCGCTTCACTTATCTCGAGGGCCTCATAAGTCCTGACAGCCTGGTGTGTGAGGAAATGGCACGGATGCAAGAGGTTTGACTGGCTTTCTCTGACTTACGTCACTTATAGCGTAGGTGAGATATCCGTCTGCTAACCAAAGGACGAGTCTAGTGCGCGGCAGTTCGCCCTGTCCTTCTATACGGATGCGAACCTTGGGCAGCAAGAACGGAGGATATTCGTAAGTTATTGGTATTCGATCATAGAGTTGTAGTGAGTGTACTTTTATGTCGAGCACACAGCGCTTATCCCAACCTACGGAAAGATTAACTGATTCATTCTTCCCGAGATGATATTTATTCGTCTTTTGACCTTTTTAAAAGTTTCTGAAGCATTGCTTGCATATCGTACGACCATTGAGTAAGCAATGCTAGGGTTAAGCTAAGGATACTGGGCAGTAATGTCAAATCGATTAAAGTAGTGAATCTTCATCAGTTGGGGACGGATATAAAAAGTTAGATCATTTTATATTTCGAGCATCTCGAAATATTTTGCCGAAAAATTGTTGCATTTGACCTTTTAATTGACTCTACAAATACGTGCATATGTGACCAGTGAATCAGCTATATTTCCTTCCAAAAGTTCAGTTTCCATTATATTTAAAATGATTCTGAGATGACTTCCCAAAAAACCTATTATGACAGTCTATAAAAATATTTTTAATTTAATCCAAAGATTGTTCTAGACTAAATACGAACCACGTAAGACTTATCACTAAGAATCAGCTTAAACTGTTACACGTCTAAACGTGATAGCAGGAGGAAAAAAGCAAGTAAAAATGTAAGAAACGAAAAAAGGGATAGATAAGAGTCAAGGATCATATGATGCAAAAGAATGTAAGACCACCATTAGAAACCTGGAAGCATTAGGTGGCCGTTTCATCCTGGTATGGGACCCATCATTGCGCATCCACGACTCTTGCTACTCGCATGATTCGAATTCAGGACCCTCCGTCTTGCGCGCGAACGCCTAATCTCTGGACCACTGAGCCGGCATCCAACGGTGTTAATGTCTAAGTCTGATCAAACTAGGGATTGTGCGCTACCTCAATGTGTAAAAGCACTAATCTGCATAACCCTAATTGAGAAAAGAATGTATTCAAATTTACATAATGATAGGGAGTGAACATGGCAGAAACAGGTGCTAGGTAAGGTTGGCAGATCAGTTAATGAAGTATTGAAACTTCATCAGTTGAGGTGGTTGGAACGTCTTAATCATGCCTAACCACAAACTACCTCGAAGAGCGATGTTATCTGACACAGGAGTATGCTGGAAGAAAGCTAGGGGCGGCCAAACCAAAACATGGCACAAATCCATGAAGTCATTGACCGCAGGACTGAGCCATCTTAATAGATGTAGACTACCTGGTTGGGGTCCACGTTACAGTCGTAACTGGTGGTTAGAGACTTTGAGTGACATGGCTGGAAATTGTTTGGAATGGCGCATGTGCATCTATTCTTTGTCCTCGCTCAAATTCTAATATATGGATTCATCATGGCCTTTAATTTTCCCTTTTTAAACTTCGTTCTCTATTTTCTTCCATTACCACTAATACTGAAACAATCTCTAACACTATTGGATCTGAATCGACAATTTCATCGCTCTGTGCTAACGTGCTATGGCAACTTGAACTGACGTATCTCCGTAGTACGTTTTACGTCGCAGCTGACTGACTGAGTTACTAGGTATTTAATTTGATATTTGTGGTTTTTAGTCCAACTTTTTGCTCTTACGAAGACGGTCCTAAGATTGAAGATCATGACTTACTGTTCATTTAGAACAAGGAATTTTCGTCTCAGCATATTAGTCGAAATTCATCAAAATAAGATTAAAATTGATCATAGGTCCATGAAACATTGAAAGACCAATAACAATTTAGTACTTAGATAGCAACAAGAGCAAATACAATGGAAACAGAGTGGCGATAATTCATATTTGAAATGATTAATACTACAATAAAATCTATATCCGAGTTGAGCTTGACGGAACTCCCTTCGTGATTTAAAATACCACGATAGTGTAGTAAGATAGACTAAAAGATAGAAAATGAATCGGAATGGTGAACATCAGTTCAGTTTCTTAATTTCCCTACTCTCAAATACTTGAAACTAATCACAATTGTTATAACGGCCAAAATTATCAAGGAAAGCAATGAAAAAAACTCAAACAACATTATAGAAGCTTTGGAAGGAACGCGACAAGTAAACAGGAAATTTAAACAAGTATAGATATTTTACTAAAATCCGAACAGCCACATAAAGTAAAACGAAAGTGAAAGATTGAAAGCCACTGAATGAGGACGGAATTTATTCAGCGCACACGTTCGAAAAGTACGTAACTTGTGTTCATTTTTTATCACTTCTATATATTTTAACGGCTCTAACAGACTCTTAGGCTAAGCAATAGAATGCACTAGGAACCACACTTGACTCTTATCACACGTTATTTTGTCAAAATTTAAGCGATATGATGTAAAAAGTCAAGCATACTGCCAAATTAAAATAGGTTATAAACTAAAAACGTAGCCAAAAAAGTGAAATACAATCTCACTGTGAACGATTACGGCTGATTAAGTGAAAATCACAGAAAAAATTTAATGTAATGGACAACTAAACATATTCTTAAGTGTAAATGGAAATTTATTCAGAGTAAGAAATAGAATATATTATCAAGACCCAGAATAAAAGTTCTTGAGTCAACATTTTGCCAGATAAAACAGTTATGTTTTCCTCCTGTGATGTCCTGAAAAACATACTTTTTAATTATGGCTTAGTCAGGATTATCAATCTGTAATGTGGTCAGCTTTAGAAAACGTTTACCAGATACAATCAAGCCCGTACAAAACGAACTACCTCAAACTGCCCGCTGTAGCAAAAACAAGTATCCAATACCATGACAAATAACTAGCATAAACCGCAGTTTTTTCCGGGAGTTTTAGCAGTTGCCTATTGGTTCGATCTACCCAGTTGACCATTTAAATTAGGAGAGACGCACAAATTGTGGTTTCGTTTGGGTTGGATGGATCAAGCACTAACATATCTATAGAGCTGCGACAACTACCATAACTCCGTCTCATAATGCCGGGTTTTTTAAGCGCTTTCCATAATAGCATGAAATTTTTGCACAGCTCTGCAATTTGTTCAGGTTAATAACATCTCTTCTCAAGCAGCGATGCTAGTAAGTTATAATTCAAGAGCTTGAATAATTCAGTATTTGCTAACACTAATGTCCAAGTCCTATCTGTCAAAATCTCTCAAATAAAACAAATGGAAAGAGTCGAGAATGGATAGGTCGGAACGTGTATTGGTATTATTGAATAAGCTGTCAAAATGCACAGCATCTAAGCTGGATTGTTATCAGACATGTTTTCCTAAACGAGCTATTACGTGGTCTTGTTTAGACGACTCATTGGGAATATTCATCCTACATAACTAACGCGGTTACCGGCCAAAATCGAATGCATGCAAAATCTTTTGTGCTATAAAAATGCCCGAATTTTCATGAGAGGCGTTACAGAATTTTGAAGGAATGAAGTGAGATAAAGGTAGATCCGATTCTCTATACATTGTCAGAAACGCATTGATAAATTTTTGTCTTTCTTCCAAACTCTTATGCGTTGTGTGGAAGTTTAAGGAGTAGCCAAAAAGAGAATCTTAACGTTTCTAATAAATGATTTTCTCCTTATCAATAAAATTCTGACATCTCAATTAGATATCAACCAAGTTACAAATTTAATCAAATTTTTTAACCAGCTTGTGTGAAGGCACTGATTTATTTAGGTTAACAGTTTGCATGATTTGGATGTATACCAAAAGCGTGGTTGAATTTTCTACTGATTGTAGGCATAATTACCACTATTCCCGAAAATATCCCCTAAACAACTCAAATGTTATGGCTCACTTAGTGAAAATAAGAAATATAACATATGTCATCTCTAGGATTAACCGTGATTAGTATGCAAATTTGAAAATGAGTCGATACTAGATCAGTAAAGACACAAAATTGCAGATATATGATTGCTACAAAGGTTGATGTATTCACATCGTTGTTGTTCAAGTTTGGTGTGCAGACGAATAAACGATTAAATAATAAATTTCTCGCACTTTGAGTTTTGTTCTTGCCTTCCAATTAACTTGATACACCAGCAAGTAAATTCCAGGACAGAGTGCTGCGAGAATACTTTCGACTACCGAATGGCATCATTGCACACACCAGAAGACTCCAATTGACCGGAGATGTAACTATTCTAAGCTACCCGACTCGTCAGTAATACAGGCCTGCCTTCCTGTAGTGCCGTCAATATGGAGAGAAGGAACAGATTGTATTTGGTTAAAAGTTTAGTGTACGCAATTTTCAAAGCAAGACTGACCGGATTTATTATAAATCATGGTAGCGCAACTGATTTGGCCCTCGTCACTTGATCGAAGTACTTGTGCTCATGGAAATATCGGAGTTCACGGCCTTCACACCACTGGGGTTGTAACTTGTAGCCAGTAAACTGATACTGCTGCCATAATCTATCTACAAAACTGTATCGTTTCAGAAGCTAGAAATTTAAAATTCTTGAACAGCTGTAGCACTGACCTACGAAATGTCATTCAATTTGATGTAAAGATCATGGAGCTTCATGGAGTGTCCATGCATGCATGGTTGAGTCATTCCATCTCGATTAGATGGTCTCGCCTTTAACTTTCGTGACGTTCTCCAAGCCCCATAAAACCAATATTCGTTCTCTTATTCAGCTTCAAGTATCGTGTCGTTTGTAATCTTTGTCACTAACCATTCAGTTGATGAATCCCGGTAGATGAATTTACACCTTCTCCATCTTTCGGCGATCAATTGCGAATCAAAGCTCACGGTCATTTCAGTGGCAAGAGTAACTGATTGGAAATCGGAAAAGGATGCGATTCAAAGTTCCAGAAGGCCACTTCGTCACTGTTATAAAAATTTCAGGCCAGTTTCTAACAATGTTTTACATTGTTTTGTGATAATAATAATAATAATACGGAAAAGAAAATATTAACTCTAAAACAACTGCGTGATTCAAGAGGATAGATTAAATTGTTACAAATGCTGCCAAATTTGCTGTAAAAGGTTGCACTGTTAGATTAATAGAAAGATTTCTGGGCAGAAGGTTTACGCCATGTCACTGACAGAAACAGTATGATGCAGACACATTTTCAACAAGCGATCACAAATATGGCAAGTACATAGCGGAATTTTTGAGTGGTGTGCATTTTACGGGAGTAAATTTGTTGGATAGTATCGACTGAGAAGTGCTTGATATAAGCCGTAAATTAACAAACTAGGGCAATGAAAAAATTTTAAATATATCACTAGACCGTTGTCTAGTTATTCATTGCGAAACAAACGAAAGAGTGGTAAGCCAAGATAAGGGAGTACACAAATGAAGAATAATGGGTACTGATGTGTGTCAAAATGGATAGATGAGGAGTTGAAGTAAGGAGCTAGATGTTTGTACATTGAATCCGAAAGTTCAGGAATAAAAGTAAAGTTTGTAAAAAACGATGGTAATTATATCGTTTACTGTTTAGCTCCGTACATACAATATCACTAATCTTTCTACTCACATACATGTGTGTAAGCATAACTTGAGCAGGTCAAAACACTATCAAATATCGAAAGATTTACGAAAAAGCAAGATGTTGACGTTAAAACAAACAGTTTCAGGCTACCAGTCATTGAAAATCAGACTTAGTCGATCACTAATTACTTGAAAATCTGAGGTCACATATTTATCAAATAAGTTTAAAACTTTGTCTGCTTTTTGATTGCCACAATCGTTAATTCTAGCACCTCCAGACTGTGAGCGCGCACACAGATAAAAACAAAATGTAGCCTTCTGAAATTCCGAACTGATAGTTAGAGTAAGTATGGTTAACACCGTTTTTGATATTGACGTAATGAATAGCAGAACTCGTTCGTGACTGACCAATTAGAAACTCCACGTACGGACGAGAACTCAGAATCAATATGACTATCAAGAGTTTTTGACACGTTCAGTAAGGCGAAGGGATTATCTTTTGAACAAATCGTCACTGACGATGCTTGACAACTAGAACTGGTGAATACCCACAGCGAGATATTGAACACCCGGACTTTATATCATGGTTTTCAGCTACCTACGACACACCAAACGCAAAATTGATTGAGTAGTGGATGCCGTGACAGTAAAGGAATTTAATTTATGTTGACATCCGTGACGGCATATTTACCAGTCATTGAAAACCAGACTGAGTCGATCACTAATTACTTGAAAATCTGATGCCATATTGATTCGGCATTATGGGGCGATGGCCTCTATTTTCTTACTACACTGGCAGATTCGAATTGCATACAATGGTCAATGTAAACTCGTCGAACATTCATATACTTTTATCAATATTAGTTAATAATATAAGTTTACTATGAATTCTTATCAAACTTGGTTATTGTTAGGCAGTAAAATCTGGTATGTCTAGTCTTTCAACAGTTTTCTTTTTTGTCCAATAATTATATTTCATCTTCATTTATTTCAAAAGCAAACTGTCTCAATGTCAGTTAGTCAGTCAGTTGAAACGTAGAACTTTGTACTTGCTTACGTAAGTTCAGGTTGCTGTACTACACCGGAACAGAGATTCAACTGTCAGCTCAAATCCCATAGTGGTAGAGACGGTAGAAATATTGGCAGTGATGGAGATGATTAAGGTTCTTAGATATGATTCGAGAAATATAATTCAGTGAGATAACTTTAGAAAGAGAAGGATAGAGAAGATGAAGAATTCAGAAAGTTAGGATCTGAAGGAACAAAAAGTGGACGAAGCTGAGCCATGTCGTTTAAGGTTTCTCTAGTGGTCGTTGCCTTCCTTCTTGCGGACCTCAACCAGATAGTCTATATCTACCAATATGACTCAGTGCACCTGTCACTGACTTCATGGATTTCTGATATAATTTGGTCTGGTCCCCCCTGGATCTTTTCTAAGCTACTGCCATAAAACTTCATGATCAACAGAGTCAAATGCGCTATAGGGTTGAGATTTACTACTGTTGTGTGTCGTTTGAACGTATGTCTTTGTTCTAGGACCTGACGTAATGTCAATATCTGTTCAACACATCCACGTCCAGGTCGAAAAACAGCCTGGTTTTCTCTGACCTGCTCATAACGAGTTCTAGTTAGGCGTCTAAGTATAACTGAGACAAATAACTTAGAAACTACATTAGTTAGACTGATTCCCCCCTGATTGTCACAATAGGACTTTTGTTCCTTCTAGTAAATTGAGACAATCAGTGATTGAGACCGTTCGGATGGTATTGCACCAAGTTCCCAAATTCTACCTAAGATCCTAATCAATCTTACTGTTAAAACTTGACCACTTGTCATTGAGTATGACGGTAGATCATGGTTGACCGAAGTGTGACTAAAGGCAAAATGATTCCTAAAGTTTTCTACCCATCGGTCCAATCTCCAGGATTAAGAATGAATGAAAATACCATCCATATGTGAGATAGATTCACTAATAGATGGATTTCTAGTACCAGTTTCCTTGATCGCTCTGAACAGTTGCCTACTGTTGCCTATCACCACTGCTTTTTCCATCTGTCTTGCTTTCGCCACCCACCACTGTTCTCGATATTACGTAGGCTTTTATTAATAATGATGATTTATTCTCAAATGACGGACATGTTACAAGAGGCATGCCAATTTACAGGTAGGATCAAAATGTTTGAATTGGCAGCTAATTTCTTTTAAAACGGTGCACAGTCACTGAAATATTTCATACATACATTGGCTACATTTAGATGACTAAAAGTTTTCACATAAAATTAAAGATAATTTTGCATACTCTACAATGTATAACGCGAAT